GCCAAATGCAGTATCTTGCTTGGTGACAGGGTTGTTGCAAGGATGAATTGGCCAAGGCCATGCACTCCGAGCACCTGACGGTCCCCAGTAAATCCTGCTGACCTCAGCCGCCCCAAACATTCAGGTGCTGTTTCTTGAGGGTCCACTTAAGGCCCCTCTCAAACCTCTTTACCAGCTCTGAGGCTACTCTTCTCCAGGTAAAGGGAAAAAAATTTCCTAATAATTAGCTTGGAACCCAAGCTACCCCTGCTGGTATTTACATTTCATAAACCAAAATGCAATTCTGTATGTTAATACTCAGAAGTCCATCAAAACCTGACTCCTTGTCGAGACTAATTTGGAAATCTCTCATCCTTAACAAGTTTAAGGCATGGAAGTATATGTTAACACTTATACAAGTACAAGTAAAGTTTCACACTTGATTGCCTAACTCCACATTCCAGCTGGGGTTCAGTCTAATACTCTAGACAAGTAGGAAGGAATAAGGGAGTCGGTGAAGTTAGCAAAGCTTACAAAGCAGTATGGTTTACTGAGCTTTAAAAACAACGCTATTGTGAAATTACAAAGAGTAGCACTGTGTTCTAAATGAATAGTCGAGTACAGAAATAAAATGAATCCTCCCCTGGAAATTTGTCACAGAGTGTGAGACAAGCAAGTACACTGACTTACCCTATATTCAAATGCAAATTTTGCTGTTTGATGCAGTCTTATGTAATATTAATGTACTGCAATGAGATTTAGATCCCCTTCTATTTCAATAGCACATCATTTTATAATAATGTGAACCGGTGGCATTTTAAAACTTTAGCATTTAACATCCCCTACTTATGTAACCAGGAGAGCATACCCAGCTGGTCCCCAGATGGACGCCTGGAGCCGGGAAATTCTTGCCTTTGAAACCACGCCCCTTGTGAACCCAGGAAGAGAAGTTTCTAACACAGTGCCGCACTGATACCAGCAAACAGTGCCCATAGTCACGGGTGCACATTGGAATCCCAAAGTAACTCTGAAATTCCCTTTGTCTCTTTGTAATACTTGTGCACTTTCGTTCAGGGAGAAATCCCTGTTCCCAGCCAGGTTCATGGTACGCCTGAAGAAAATCACTTAAACTTTTTACTAGCTTCTTGAATTGAATGATATCGATTACTTGATATTTACAAACAGCAGCTTCTCCAAAATCTCAGGGCATTTGCCAAGAATGTATTATGAAGAACATTTCCTAGAAGCTAACAGCCCTATTCCAGATACTTCCTAACCTGATGGCTTTGGTTTCACTCATCTGTAAAATGAGATGAGAAATAATTTCTACTATAAGGGATTCTTTTGAGGATTAAATGAGACTGTACGCATGAATTTCTTAGCTAATATCCAGTGCTCGATAACTGCCAGCCATTCTTTTAGTATCATCCCTGATAAATATTAAGGCTATGCCTCACGGTATGTACGTATGCACATACACATAGGTATAATCTGCATACATAATGTAAGTTACAACAAAAAGCTAAGATTTAAAGCTCTTAATAGACTTGCTCATGTCAGAGTTAAAATTTAAACTGAGGTTTTCTGGTATTCTTTTTAAAAATCTGCTTACTTCTAGCTGTGATGACTATACTTACTTATGTGAAATATCTCACTTACTTTAGTGCCTCTTGAGAAAAGATATTCCAAAGGTGCTTAGTGGAAAAAAAAAAACAAATATAACAGAAAATTTCACCTAATTTAAATAATTTCTCTGCCTAGATTAAACTTCTCTTTTAAACCTAACACTCATAATGTATTGTATGCACAGACACACATACACACTAATTTTAAATACGTGTGCATTCTTTGGAAGCTGCTGTGAAACATTTCTTTTTTTTTTTTTTTTTTTTTTGAGACGGAGTTCCACTCTTGTTACCCAGGCTGGAGTGCAATGGTGCGATCTCGGCTCACGGCAACCTCCGCCTCCTGGGTTCAGGCAATTCTCCTGCCTCAGCCTCCTGAGTAGCTGGGATTACAGGCACGCGCCACCATGCCCAGCTAATTTTTGTATTTTTAGTAGAGACGGGATTTTACCATGTTGACTGGGATGGTCTCGATCCCTTGACCTCATGATCCACCCGCCTCGGCCTCCCAAAGTGCTGGGATTACAGGCTTGAGTCCCCGCGCCCTGCCGAAACATTTCTATACTCTACAGAGCAACTGGGACATAGAGAATCTTAGAGTGTAGGATTGACAGCGAACGTGGGAAACAAAGCTCAAGCGTCTCTGAGAATAAAACACTGAGTAAATAGGGCTCTACCCTTAAGTTTTATTTCCATGCAATTTCAAAGGCAAACATCCATTGAAAACATGAGCTGGAAGAAATGAGAAGTACAGCTTTGATTTTTTATTTTACCCAAATTCCTACCTAAGGGGTCTGGGGAGTCATGCCCTACAAACCATAAATTCTCACCAGACGGGATTTATTTAACCCTATATATTGTGACCTACTTTTCAGTCTGACTCCAGCATAACAGTATGAGACAAGGAAAAAATATTTAGCCCCAAAATATATTTCCTTGCCACACCTTGAAATTGACCTGCAAAGTCTCTTGTGGGAAAAAGCCACATTCTATAGAGAATCCCCTTCCCCCCTTGTTTTTCTTCCTTCCTTCCCAGATCAAGGAGATAATCAACTAAGGGCCAGGCAGGCTTTTGAGTTGGGTAAGAAACAGTTCACAACCTGCCCTCTCTGAAGTCTGCTATCTGAGAGCTTCCTCTGCACAATCCTTTACCAACATTCCTTTCTATCGTCCCAGGTCTTTAGACAAACTCAACCAATTGTCAACCAGACAATGTTTAAATTTACCTATAACCTGGAAGCCTCCACTTTGAGTTGTCCTGCCTATCTAAACCAAACCAATGTATTTCTTAAACGTATTTAATTGATATCTCATGCCTTCCTAAAATGCACAAATCAAAGAGGTACCCCGACCACCTTAGGCACATGTTCTCAGGACCTCCTGAGGCCTGTGTCATGGGCCATGGTCATTCATATTTGGCTCAGAATAAATCTCTTAAAATCATTTTACAGATTCTGACTCTTTCCATCAACACAAAGTATATAGATAATCAGCCCCAGCCCTTTTATCTCTCAAATGTGAAAACAAGGCAAAGAGAAAACAAAATGTATAACACCTTTAATGATATATACTTTGCATAAAATCTACCTATCTAAAATGTACAATTTGGTGGTTTCCAGCATATTGACATAATTGTTCAACCATCACCACTGCCTAAGTTTAGAATATTTCCAACACCCCATAAAGAAACTCGATATCCATTAGCAGTAATTCCCCATCGTCCCTTCCCTAGCCCCAGAAAATCACTAATCTGCTTTTCCATCTCTATGATTTGTCTATTCCAGTTATTTATATTATATATATGATATCATAAAATGGGTAGTCTTTTGTGACTGGCTTCTTTCACTTCGCAAAATGTTTTAAAATATTATCCATGTTGTAGCATAAAGTTTTTATTGCCAATCATATTTTCTATTCTTCAGGGTTTTTTTGGAAAAATTTGTGAAGAAGTATTAATTATCCTTTGAATGTATGGTAGAATTCATCAGTGAAGCCACCTGGGCCTGGGATATAACAATGAGAATTTTTTTTTTTTTTTTGAGACAGAGTCTCGCTCTGTGGCCAGGTGCCAGGCTGGAGTGCAGTGGTATGATCTTGGCTCACTGCAACCTCTGCCTCCCAGGTTCAAGCAATTCTCCTGCGTCAGCCTCCTGAGTAGCTGAAATTACAGGCATGTGTCACCACCCCCAGCTAATTTTTGTATTTGTAGTAGAGACAAGGTTTCATCATGTTGGCCAGGATGGTCTTGATCTCTTGACCTCATGATCCGCCTGCCTTGGCCTCCCAAAGTGGTGGGATTACAGGTACGAGCCACCATGCCCAGACTGTCCTGCAATTCCTTAGATATCATTTCTTTCAGTTACTGAAAGTGTTTATAACAGTCTTTGTCAAGTAAGCCCAACATCGGAGTGAGTGTTCTTAGTACTGATTGCCCTTCCCCTGGGTGAGCAGTCCTTTCCTCTTTTGTTTTTTTTCTCTTTGCCTTTCTCTATCTCTGTCTCTTCCCCTCCCCCTTCTACTTTGAAAACTGAACGTTTAACATAATATAACAGGGCAACTCTAAAAATCTGAACCCCTTCCTAGTTTTGATGTTTTCCCTGCTTGTTTAGTGATTTTCTAAGATGAGTTCTGTAAAGTCTGTATTGTTTGTCATGTGAGGCTGCTGAAGTTTCTACTCGGCTAACTGTTAGCTAATTATTTGACAGAGGTTTCCTCAAACGCCTTGAACCAATGAGTCTCCCATGGTTTGCTCAGGGGCTGTGTATGTGTGTGTCCTGAGGCACGCCTTCAACACTCTGAGAGCCTGCTTCTGTGCCTTAGCCTTCACTTCCTGCTGTGCAGAGCCTCAGGATCCCCTACCATATTTGTATGGTCTTCTAGATCCCCTGGAATATGTCAGAAAAACATGTTATGTGTTCAAAGCCTGCTACAGGTGTTTCATTTTTCAGATTTTCCTTTTAAAATTTTTGGCTATCCTCTCGTTTGCCACAACAGGTATAACTGCCACGGGCTACTTTGATATATTAAATAATTGCGGCTGATGTTTTCAACCAAAGCCCTGAGGCTAACACGTTACTCACGGAGAGAGTTCTGGTCTCAAGACATTTGTGAATGGGAATTTTCCACAATGTTTCCAGACAGGACAAATAATGACGATCACCTGCCTTTGTTTAGCATCTCCCAACCTATTCTTTCGTCTTACTGGTTTCTAGGCTCCTGATTTGAGAGTTACCGTGGCTGTGAGGCTGTTGCTTTTCAAGGCTACTGCGGACGGAGGTGGAGAGAAAGCGAAGGGAATCGACTAAGTTCAAACCTCACAAAGCGGTGAACCAAGCTCACTGTTCTGAGATTCAGTCACTTTTGTATAGATGTTCCTTGAACTGTTGCAAGCCTTTCTTTCTTTTTTTTTTTTTGCTTTTCGGGGGAAGTGGATTTTTGAAAGTCCTTGCTCTGCTATTCCGAGCGTTTCCTCTGAAGAGGATTTAACTGACTTGTTCAGGGCCAACAGCTACTTCATGTGAACTGAGTTTCACGTCAAATTTTGATGATCTTTCTGATATAATAGGAGTAAATGAATTACAGGAAGTTAACTTCATTATATTCAAGTTTATACATGAGTGAAAGTTCTGGGGGGGGAAAGGAATTCATGAGAAAACTCATAATGTCAGTAACGACCAAATTCTGAAAGTTCAGGTAATCAGGTTAATACAGGACTCGGTTTTCTCAGCATTCACAAGCCATGAAGAATTTGAAAGAGAAGAGGAAAAGGAACCTGAGGGCCATAAGCTGGATTGAATCCTTTATATGCAGACATGTGCACACACACACACATTATAACTACAAAACACAGAAGGGCGGCACGTTCAACACCACCACTCTATGTGTTATAAATGAGGCCAAAACGGAATGAACAGGAATGCACATCACTGGTGGGCAGAGGAACCGTGGAACGAACTGCACGTCTTCTAGCTGAGTCACACCAAAGTCATTCCACCAAACGTCTATTAACGGTTTACTATGTGCCCAGCAGTTCTTACGGGAAGAAATACTGACTGCTCCTCAGAATTTGTAGTTGAGGCCCAGATGAAGACCCAGCCCATGTCCACCCTCATAAAACTGGTCCAATAGCTACCGTGACTCCAAAAACCTGCTCAAATATTGGAAAAGCTTCTGACTTCAAATCTGTGCAAGCTCTGGGCTCCTGCCACCTGCCCCTACTCTTACTCCAGCTCGTGATGGAATTAACCTTCAGCTCCTGACTTTGTGGCTGAGTACACTTTTTCCTGGTTCATGATATTTGATAGTGGGTGCTGCCTTCGCAGCTCTCAGCCCCAGTCTCCGGGTAGTCTTGATCATCCTCATGTGAAACCTTTGCCCATTCTCTCTAGCCATCCAAGAGCCAAGTGCCTTTAGGAATTTGATCATTTCCTACTTCTTCAATAATGCCTTCTTTTCCTGTGGTACATGTTTTGACATGTAATCATAGATATTTCATACTAAAAGAAACTTAGAACCCCCATGCATTAGAAATGAAACTGAAGGCTAATCTGATTAGCCTCACCAAACTTTACCTTAGTCACTTGCTTCTAGTTGATATTAAAATCCGTATAGCTAAAAGTCACATAGCTAAGCAACATATAGCTGCACTCCCACCGTCTTCCTTGTAGACAGTGTCTCCGATGCATAGGTCACCATGGAAATGTTTCCTTAAGTTGTTTTTCAGGAAGTTGGAATCAGCTCTTGTCCAGTTCAAGCCAGCCGAGACCACTGACCCTTCAACTGGACCCGAGTGAATATCCCATGGGTGACCTTTTGAGGTCAGAGGGCCAAAATCTCCGCCCTCTCATCACGGTAATGCTGCTGTTTTGTGAACATGCCATGAAGAGCTATGAAACTCGACTGTACTTGCACAGATCATGGATCACCTCACTTTTCCTTATCCCCATCACCTTTCCCTATGCTTCAGCCCACCTGGCTCCTCTATCCCATTAATATCCCTAAAACCCCATCTCCAAGGAGACAGATTTGACTGCTGTTCTCCCATCTTCTCACTCAGCTGCCTGTAAATAAAATCTTTCCTCCACTGCAAACTTGTCATATCAGCGAGTAGCTTACTATACAACAGGCAGACGAGCCTTGTTCATTACAGAACCATTACATGCCATTCTTTTTTTTTTTTTTTGAGACAGAGTTTTGCTCGTTACCCAGGCTGGAGTGCAATGGCGCGATCTTGGCTCACTGCAACCTCCGCCTCCTGGGTTCAGGCAATTCTCCTGCCTCAGCCTCCTGAGTAGCTGGGATTACAGGCACGCGCCACCATGCCCAGTTAATTTTTGTATTTTTAGTAGAGATGGGGTTTCACCATGTTAACCAGGATGGTCTCGATCTCTTGACCTCGTGATCCACCCGCCTCAGCCTCCCAAAGTACTGGGATTACAGGCGTGAGCCACCGCGCCCGGCCTCTTTTTTTCTTTTTGAAACAGAGTCTCACTCTCTTGCCTAGGCTGGAATGCAGTAGCACAATCTCGGCTCACTGCAACCCCCGCCTCCCGCGTTCTAGCGATTCTCCTGCCTCAGCCTTCAGAGTAGCTGGGATTACAGGTATGTGCCACCACACCTGGCTAATTTTTGTATTTTTAGTAGAGATGGGGTTTCACTAAGTTGGTCAGGCTGGTCTCGAACTCATGACCTCATGATCCACCCATCTTAGCTTCCCAAAGTGCTGGGATTACAGGCATGAGCTTGTGCTTGGGTAACATCCCATTCTTCCAATAAGCTTTGATTGAATAGCTATGATCAAGGTGGCAAAGACAGTCTAGGCCTTCATCGAGCTAATAGTAAAGCAAAAACAGAAGCTCCAAGAACACTGGCTTAGCTGGATGGGCTCAACATGGGGATGGAGGCTCAGCATGGGGTTGGAGGCTCAGCATGGGGATGGAGGCCCAGAGTGGGGATGGAGGCCCAGCATGGGGATGGAGGCCCAGCGTGGGCATGGAGGCGCAGCGTAAAGATAGACGCTCAGCATGGGAATAGGGGCTCAGAGTGGGGATGGAGGCATCCAGACTTCTGCTCAAAGGAGTTTTTTCCTCTGGTTTTTTGCTTGCTACAGAATGTAACTGGCTTTTCTCCTCATTGGTCCATGAATCCAGGAAGCAACAGTCTTTATATAATCCTTTCCATGTCTCCCGCTGTCTCCTGTCTCTTGATCAGAATGCACAGGCCTTCAGCAGGATCTGTGACATAAACTACTCACGCAGTTTAAAGTCAGAACAGCTGCGCCATCGTCCTAAACCAGGCAAATCGCTCTCGTATCTCCTGTGGGGTAGATATCTTCACCGCAGATTAAGCTGGAGAGAATGAACACGTTAAAGCTGGGAGAAATATTTCAGGATACCTTGGGGCAGTGAGCCGTGTGGTGCCTGCTCCCAGTGATGGATGGAACCACTTGGCAAGCGGCTGTCAGAGGGAGGGCAGCGCTTCATGTACAAGACGTAAACATCTCTCCAACAGTGACCAGTACTGCACACCACGCCTTCTTCCCACGAAAGGAAAGTGCTGTTTCCGCCGTCACAGCCGCACGGACAGCAGCGGCAGCCACGGCACAGTCTTGGATCCCTAGACAATGGCACATATTCCGTAGCATGCTGCTATCGGTCTTGTCTCTGGAAGCCAAAAACAACAGCAGGACTGAAGAGTGATTTGAAACCAGGGACCTACGGTTTGATTTTCAAAAATATGTCCAAAATAAAAACATGTCCAGCCAAATTCGCCAAGTGACACAGAAACACTCTGTGCTCCTGAGAAATCTCAACACCACAGAGAACATTAAGGAAAAGTTTCGGAACAAACAAAGCCAAACCACAGCAGTCCTATCTGACAAATTTCAGCAAAGACTACGTTATCCGATCATTTACAGCAAACACTGAATTAGGAGAGTTATAAAGAGTAACTTTTCTATCTGCACCAGACGCTTATAATTTAGAGGAAAAATAAATGTATACATTATGAAAAATGACACAATCTACCTACTGTAATCCTCACAGGCCTACAGTGAAAACACACAGTGACTTTGGTGTCTCAGGACACTTCCTGACCCTGCTTCCTGACCAGGTTTCAGGAGCTGTCCCTCAGATGACAAAGACCCCATCCTTGGGGACAGTTAAGGAAAGATGACCCGGGAAGTATGTCACTTGCTTTTAGGGTCATCCTTGAGCACAGAATGGAGACAGAGACAGAGAGAAAAAGCAAAAAGAGACAGAAGCAGAGAGAGTCAGAGAACAAGGAAAAAGCCAGAGAAACAACTGAGAGAGACAGAGAAACAGAAAGAGACAGAGAGAAAGAGACCAGGCTCTTCTGCCTGGAAGCAGCCGAGCACGAGGCTGCTGGACCAGGCGCTCCCTGGATTCCACACCTCAGCCACTGGTCCACACACGTGGTTTATTTGGAATAAAGAGGGTTAGAAATATCAGGATGATAATAAGATCAACTATGGATATATGCAAACCCACACATTTGAAAACAAAAGCGCCAGCTAACATTCGATTATTCACTCTCTGTCAGACACCATGCTTCGCCTTTCCGTATATTATATCATTGAAGCCTCATGACAAACAGGCAGGTAAGTAGTTTTGTTGCCCACCCTCCCCCTACCTTTTTAAAAAAAGTCATATTCAAGGTCAGTGCTGGTAAGGCAGGGAGCCAGCCCCAGCCTCTGGCTCTAGAGCATGCCGTGGGAAGCACCACGTCACAGCCACTCTTTCACTCGGCCACAGGACTCAGATGCAGGCTTCTGCGGCCCCCCTGGGAGAAGAAGGGGCTGTGAAATAGTCTCACCGCACAACGCTCTTCATGAGCAAGGAGGGACGTCACAGTGCAGAGAAACAGATTCAGGGTGAACTAGACATCAAAAAGGCAAACCAGTAGCCCCAGTCCTCCCACAATCACCTTCCAGAGTTTGTTCCCAAGTTTCCATCTCAGGAAGCAAGAAGTGCAATGCAGGTTTATTATGTACTCATTGACTAAGCCAGCATCTCGCTCTGTCGCCAGGCTGGGGTGCAGTGGTGCAATCTCAGCTCACTGTAATCTCTGCCTCCCAGGTTCAAGTGGTTCTCCTGCCTCAGCCTCTGGAATTGCTGGAACTACAGGTGCACCCCACCTGGTCCAGCTAATTTTTGTATTTTTAGTTGAGGTGGGGTTTCACCATGTTGGCCAGATGGTCTCGATCTCTCGACCTCATGATCTGCCCGCCTCGGCCTCCCAAAGTGATGGGATAACAGGCTGAGCCACCTCACCAGGCCACAGGTTTATTTTTGGACTGGGATTCCTCTTTAGAAGTCAATGGGGTCAGATTGCTTTGTTACAGTTTTACAATGCTAGTTACTTTTCTTCGCAGTTATTAAGTTTAACGTTCTGCTAAGAAACAATGTTTTCACACTTTCACACTGAAACGGCCTTCTTTAACTAAGCATATACCATTTACCATTTTCACAACGAATTCCTCAAGATTATTCCACGGAACCGTATCTTTATGTGTAATGTATGAAAAAGTGGTTTGTAGCCTTTCTTTCTTTCTTGAAAGAGGAGCTTAAACATCAGCATTGCTACTGGGATTAAGATTCAGAAAATCACAGGGACATGTAAATTGAGATAATGCAAAGACAGTTCATACGTAGAATCAAACTTTAAATGAGCATTAAATACTAATTGCCAGTGTAATTTCAGCACTTCGATATGCATGTTTTTAGTCTAATTTAGAAGAAAGTCATTTAAGTAAAATTCTGCGATTGTAACTGTTTAATGGCAATTGAAACAGCAGATTCTTTCATTTTCTAGTATACAAAACTTTAAGCGACTGTTTAAACTGTGGTTTGCATTCTGTTTCTGCTACTTTCTGAGAATAATCAGAACAGTTCTCCCCACTTCAAAGCAATAATGTTGAACCTCCTAAGACTAAAACAAATGTAACTTCCAATGGTACTCACTAGTTAATAAAATATTTTTTCTGTTTTTTAAAGCCTATGCTTTATTGCTTTCCAGAGAAGTATGCTCGATGTTACTTCTTCTAAATTATCCATGATTGGGAAGATTAAAATATTAACGACTTTTGATTGAGGAGGTGTTTAAAATAACCACGTAAACCTTCTGATATGGATGTTCACAAGGGAGGTTTACAAAGATAAATTAGAAATCTGTGAATATCGTGCATGCAAAAGAATGGCTCTTGATGATTTTTGTTAAAATACCAGTGTGGCTTTTTATCATTTCCTATCATAATATTGGCAAAAACAAAGGAAAATAAACAAAAATACAACAATTTGAAGTAGAAAATCTTTAAAACAAATTCTCCTATGTTGTTTTGTAAAGTTTACATGAAATAGGAAAAATGCATTTAATATCATTTTACACTTTCAAACCTCAGAATACAAGAATACAATCCTCAGATACATGGTACTTTTTTTTTTTTTTTTTTTTTTGAGACAGTCTTGCTCTGTCTCCAGGCTGGAGGGCATTAGGGCCCTATCTCAGCTCATTGCAACCTCCACCTCCCGGGTTTAAGCAATTCTCCTGCCTCAGGATACATTTTAAAGTTATTGTGAAATTTTACTCTTCCTTGAATTCACCCAATGAAGAAGTTTCTGAAAGTCTATAACAGAATGATTTGCTTCCTTCTAAAATTAAATATGTACATAAGTATAACATTTAATGGGTTTTGTTCTCCCTTTAAATACATTGAAAGTATATTTATACAACTTTCATTCACTTAGGTAGGTTGCTTATTAATTACTATCTGTCCATCCACAAAGGCCATTACCGCAAATGTATAGAATGAGCTGATTACTAAAATAAGAAGACTCAGTAGCGTAAGAGTGAAAACAAAGCTAATGAAATTTTGTAGCCCCCAAAGAGAAGACACTATATAGAGCATAAATAGAAAATAAGTTTTCTTAATATTTCTTAACTGTATCACAAAATTAATCGAAAATACCAAAGCCAACTTAAATGGCTCACTTTATTGCCATTCCAGTGTGTAAAGTTTTCAATTCCGCGTGGAACGCGTTTCTCTGATTCTCTGCAGGGCTCACCAGTGTCACCCTGACAAAGCCCCCCGCCTTGAGTAAACCTCATACAGGCTTCTCTGACCCCGCTTCTCAATGAGGCCTCCCCCTGGCACCTTGCCTTGGCCTGCTAGTCCAGTTGTAGCAAGAGTCCCGCTAAGTTGGATTCTTTAGCAAGAATCCCTCCACCCTTGAAGTCTCCTCTTAAGTCAGTTTCCATCCAGTGACCGCCTCGGTCTGCTCACTGGCTGTAGTTCCCCAGCTGTCTTGGCTGTATTTAAAGTTGAGCCCATCTCTTTCCGCTACTCCAGTAGTCTTGACATACATCACAATAGTCCTGAATAATTTTCTCTTTAACATTCCCCCTTCTGCTCTGCCCTGGTTTTCATGCTGTTTCTTAGCCCAGGAACAAATGCAGACATAGACGGTCCGCACAGATGGCCCCTCCACACCTTACAGCTGGCAACGTAAGATACATCACTGTGGGTTTACCCAAGTCCAGATTCAAACTTCCAATATGTTCATATTAAAGTAAAAGCAAAGCAGGTATACAAAGTGCAATGCTTGAACTACTCATTTCCTATAAGATATCTTATAGCCACATGCCCATTTAAATTATGTGAAATGGTGAGAGTCTCTAAAACCTGCTTAATGTCACTGCTTCCTCCCATGGTGGGAATACAAGCTTCAATCTTCCAACACTGACCCCGTAGGGTGACGATGTCGAGTCACCTAGTGGCTCTGAGCCTACGTTCACACCCCCAAGGCAGGAATAAGATTTTATCTACCTTATAAGATGGTCGTGATAATGAGCGTGTCAGTGCACAGCAAGTGCCTGGGGTGACACTGGAAGGGAAGAATTCTCAGTCAACGTAAGCTGCACAAAAATTATCAGGAGGAGAAAGTAAAATCGTAGCTGCCACCAGGTGTCTAATGCCAGATAAAGTACAATCAGCCACAGAAAGAAGAAGGCCATTTGCTTTCCAACTTTACTTTCCGTTCTCGTTTCGGATCATTGAATTTTTAACGCGGATTTAGGCAGCACCAAACATGCACCCTTCATGAAGTCAACTGGATGTCATTAAGTTATTCTTTGGTGCTGGCCAGGCGAGGTGGCTCATGTCTGTAATCCCAGCACTTTGGGAGGCCAAGGCGGGTGGATCACCTGAGGTCAGGAGTTCGAAACCACTCTGGCCAACATGGTGAAGCCCCGTCTCTATTAAAAATACAAAAATTAGCCAGGCGTGATCACGGGCACCTGTAATCCCAGCTACTCGAGAGTCTGAGGCAGGAGAATCGCTTAAACCTGGGAGGTGAAGGTTGCAATGAGCCAAGATCACACTACTGCACTTCAGCCTGGGAGACGAGAGGAAAACTCCATTTCAAAAACAAAACAGAACAACAACGACAACAAGTTATTCTGCGGTGTGTATTGGAAAACACAAAAGGAACAGAAATATAGAGCCAGGGATGAAAGCCGTAAATACTAGCAAATGCTCAGAAGCTCAAGACCGGAAATAAATACTTACCAATAAATTCATAAGTGAACAAAACCAGTGTGACCTTTATTCCTTCACACACAAAATTTCACTACTGTGAATTTCATGATGGGGACTTTGGAGAGCAGCCACTAGGAAGCTCTGCCCTGTGTCCCCTGTGGCAGGCTATGCTTCTGAACTCTAATTCTTTGCTGTCATGGAATAATCACACCACAGTGTCAGCCTATGTAAGATACTCATCGCTCCCCTCCACGCACAGTTTCTAAGCCGTAATTTCCTAGTTGAGTGGTTTCTACAGATGACGTGTTCTTAGGGATGTTATGCTCATTATTTATTTCCTATTCACAACTTTTCCAGCGAGATATTATCACTATTACAGAAGAAGATACAGGCTCCAAGAGACTGCACAGGTTGCCCGAACCGACAGGACTGGAAAGTAGCAGAGCCGTGATCCAAGGTCAAGTCGGCGAGACTTCAAACTCCAGCTCGTTCTTCTCTGCTCTGCAGCCTCCCACGATTTCACTTTTAAATGAAAGATAATGATAATTCCTAAAATAACTGCTATGTCTTCTTTCTGGCATTCCAATTGCTGCCAGAAGCTATATTTTATTTCTGATTCAGTCTTTGCAAGTATTTCCTTTCCAACAGTATGCTCTTTTACTTCCTAAAGAATACACTGATTTCTGCTATTTACAGCTCTGAGATTGTAAAGACTGACAATCTAGGAAGAACTTCATGCTGCCGACAACCTTTCACTGGGTCTTGACTTTTCTCTACCTCAGGGCTATCACCCCGACCTGGCTCTCAGAGATTGTCAAACACTATGTCCATTTCTACTCATAAACAAAGACACATGTTAAAGTAAATAACCACTAATAAAAAGGGGGTAGAGTAGAAAAGATAATACTGCAGTGAGACTATGGGTAGACATGAATATTTTACGTGTACAGGTTGATAGCTTCCCATCAGTACATGAGCTCTATGTGATTAAAACAGGCCCTCCTCCCCTACTCACCCCATCACCCAGTTTCCAAGTGTCCTCTAGGCCAAGGCTATGCGCAAGGGAAGGTCACATATATCATCATCTGACAGCGAGGTGAAGTCCCTGTGGGCACCTATGTGAGTTTCCAGGGTGGCTGAGAGGGAACTGCCATCTAATCCAAACAGCCAGCCACAAGGTCCCAGATGTCAGGAACGCCTGACGGTAAGAGTGAGGAAAGGAATCAAATAGGCCAGTGGAAACAGCACAGTACGGTGATGCGGGGGGCAGAGGGGAGGGGACGGAGCAGTGGAAACAGCACAGTACGGTGATGCGGGGGGCAGAGGGGAGGGGACGGAGCAGTGGAAACAGCACAGTACGGTGATGCGGGGGGGCAGAGGGGAGGGGACGGAGCAGTGGAAACAGCACAGTACGGTGATGCGGGGGCAGAGGGGAAGGGGTGGAGCTGCCGCTGGCAGCTGGCCCATTACCTTGAGAAAGCCTGTGCCCAGAGAAGTCAGGCCCAGGCAGCAGAAATGAAGGACGAGCAGAGACGGAGAGGGCTGATGGCACAGAGTTCCCGGTTCTGATCCACCAAGTACGTGTGCCCATAAATTCTATCTCGTGGATTCTGCTCTGACAACAGTGCACGTTCTTGGCAACCAGAAGGCTGCCAAACGCTAGTTGGCTGTCTTCATTCCTTTTTATCTGTGACGATGAAAGCAGCACTCACAAACACAGGCAGGCAGGGACATCACTTGGCAGTCGCAGGCTGTAAGGGGCATCTTGAACCTGGCTCTTCAAAGCACTGTTCCCACACTCACACTATTGTCACCAGAGAGCTTGTTAGAAATGCAGAGCCTTAGCCTGGCGTGGCTCACGCCTGTAATCCCAACATTTTAGGAAGCTGAGGCAGGTGGATAACCTGAGGTCAGTAGTTCAAGACCAGTCTGGCCAACATGGGGAAACCCCATCTCTACTAAAAATAAAAAAAAATTAGCTGGGTGTGGTGGCCAGGCCTGTAATTCCAGCTATTGAGGAGGCCGAGGCAGGAGAATTGCTTGAACAAAGGAGGAAGAGGTTACGGTGAGCTGAGATCACGCCATTGTACTCCAGCCTGGGCAATATAGTGAAACTCTGCCTTAAAAATAAATAAATAAATGAAAAAGAAATGCAGAGCCTCAGGCCCTCCGAGGATCCGATGATTCTGAAAGGGATCTATAACCCAGTGATTTGCAGGCACAATAAACTTTGAGGAATACTAATGCAGATACTGAAAAATGCCACCAAAATGAAATAATGTATTTTCTCAAAGAAAATTCTCAGACACCCAAAAATACACATGTAAATTCCCATGAGTCTGAGAACCACAGGTGAAGAAACACTGGTCTAGGAGACCACACACTTGCCTGCTCATCCCACACTGAGAAACCATCAAAACTCATGTGTGGGGAATGTCTCAGTCAGCTTGGCTGCTGTAACAAACTACCATATGCTGAGTCACTTATAAACAACATCTTCTCACAGCGTCTCCGAATAATGGAATAGCCGAGGGACCTCTCTAGGACCTCTGTTTTTTCTTTTTCTTTTTTTTTTTGAAACAGAGTTTCATTCTTGTCATCCAGGCTGGAGTGCAGTGGTGCGATCTCAGCTCACTGCAACCTCCACCTCCTGGGTTCAGGCAATTCTCCTGCTTCAGCCTCCTGAGTACCTGGGATTTCAGGTACGTACCACCACCCCCAGCTAATTTTTCTATTTTTAGTAGAGACGGGGTCTCAGCATGTTGGCCAGGCTGTCCTCGAACTCCTGACCTTAGGCGATCCACCCACCTAGGCCTCGCAAAGTGCTGGGATTACAGGTATGAGCCACTGCGCCTGGCCTCTGCGGCCTCTTTCATAGGAACAGTAACCCCATTCATGAGGGTTCTACCTTTATGACCTAATGAGAGCTCCATCCTCAATACCTAATCATTTCCCAGAGGCCCCACTACCAAATACCATCACGTCGGGAGTTAGGATTCCAACACATGAATTTCAGGTGTCACAAACACTTAGGGGTCTACAGCACATAAGTTAAATAAAATATTTACATTATAGACACGCATCGTGGAAAGGAGACCTCTATAAATCAGAAGTGTGCCTTTTGTGAGGAAGGTTTTCTAGGATAAAGGAAAGTGAGAAGAAGATGCAGCCTCTTGTTTCTGACTTTGTGTGCCTGGCGTAGATGCTGGGGGCACATGCACGCACCCAGCCACGTTGTCTAAAAGCATTAAAAGAATGAGTACACTTGCAGGCACCATAGAAGAGCTGCTGATTCAAATGGCTTTGGACTGCCCAGCCAGTCAGTTGGGACTTCACCATGCATGGAGGCACACCAGTTTCCCTACGGCTCTTCCTCCAGCTATAGAGGGTTCAGCCTCTTGATACTGATTCACTTTACATTTTTTCTGAGTCTTGCTTTCTTCTCCTCATAACCTTCCTTTCAGTGGAAACTGTTCAGTAGCATAATTATATTCACATAAAACATGTTTCCTGGGCTCCTCCCCTTCCAAAGATAGGAAAAGGCCAGGGAAAATATGTTAGCAAAGGGGAGAAACAGGGTGGCACAGCCTGGCAGGAGAGGCTGAGGTCTGCTGCTCGCACGCGCTCACAGGCTCATTGATCCTTGCTATTCAGTCTCCGTTTTCAGGTATTATCCTCTCATGTCATCATCCAATCCAGAGGAAGAAACGCAAAAGCTCTGCTGACACACAGACACGTGTGCCCAGAGGCACTCTCACCTCCAGCCTGGCTGAGGCTGCTCCTGCCCGGAACCCCGCCCCACCCTCCTCACGGTCACGTCCAGCTGATCCTTAGCTATCGCCTCGTCACCACATGTGTTCCAGTGATCTGCTGCTACAGTTAACCACAGCGTAGGTCAGGAATTTGGGCAAAACAGCAGGGTGGGCCGGTCTCCGCCCACTGGTGTCTAGGGGTTCAGATGATAAAAAGGAAAGACTGACCTCACAGGACCATTGCCAGGAGTGCCCACTCCCAGCCCCTGGATGCTGGACCCTTGCAAGGGGCCCAGTGCTCCAGGAGTGAGTGTTGCAGTGAACAGCAGTGCTGCCTGGCCTTCAGAGAGGCCTCGGGCTTCCCCCTCATTCTGTGGATGAAAGCAGTCACCGCATGTCCAGGTTCAAGGAGAAGGGCTGAGCTCCAAGTTCAAGGGTAAGAGGGTCAAAGCATAAGCCACCAGGTTTCAATGGCACAAAGAAAGAGAAGTGCTGAATCCTTACATTAGCAGGATAAATGCTTTTATCAGTTCCCTTCCATGGCAGGACTAATCACGGCCATTGAAAGGTTTACTGTCATTCTCTATAGATCATCAGCTTCTGTTTGTTTTGTTTTGTTTTTCTTTTTCTTTTTTTCTTTTGAGACAGAGTTTCACTCTTGTTACCCAGGCTGGAGCGCAATGGTGCGATCTCAGCTCACTGCAACCTCCGCCTCCTGGGTTCAGGCAATTCTCCTGCCTCAGCCTCCTGAGTAGCTGGGACTACAGGCACGCGCCACCATGCCCAGCTAATTTTTGTATTTTTAGTAGAGACGGGGTTTCACCATGTTGACCAGGATGGTCTCGATCTCTTGACCTCGTGATCTACCCGCCTCGGCCTCCCAAAGTGCTGGGATTATAGGTGTGACCCACTGAGCCCGCCCGACTATCAGCTTCTTAAAGAACTTACTCATCTTCTTCTGCCGAATTCAGTGCAGGGCACATAGTGGTCACTGGTAAAATATTTGTTGAACAAATTGTTCCACACAAGATACTGACAGATGCTTCTTAATCTCATCTCATATGTATTGACTTACACTGAATAACATGTCTAGCATATTCTCACTCCTTTACAGCACACTAAATAAAAGGAAGAATCTCAGTCTATGTAGCACAGCTTCCAATCAATGTCTCCAAGGCATGCTACATATCATGAGGCTAAATTATCCACCAGCAACCTTCTGAGGTTGACATAACCTTATTCCATAAAATTTCTTTTATAGGCAGAAAATTCACTTTAGTGGCTTAGGAACGTCCTGAATATGTCAGACTGTTTCCCTACTGAGCATTCCCTCTGCACTCAATTTAACAAGCAGGACAATCTGCGATTTTAACATTAATAATGCAAATAGACTTACAAAAAGAATACAGCATTCTTGCATCCACAGTGGCTAATGGTTTAGGCAACAGGCAATATCCATATAATTTTATAAAATTTTAGTTAAAACATATTGTTGCATAATTATGAGAATAGCTTCCTTTTGGGTAAAAAGTGTCAAGATGGGTTTAAAAATCAGTGTCGTTTTACTTGGAGACGATCGTCTTCCAGTTTTGTTTTGTTTTTTTTTTTGCTACAAGATAAATTCTTAAGTTGTATGCATTGGTGCCTAAAAACCAGATGGCATCACGTAGCTGTGCACAGCCCAAATACCACCAAGAAAAGTGCTTTGTTATGTCCACCATGCTGTATGCACAGCCCAAAGTGCCCACAGCTACTGGACATTGCAGAAACCCTCCTTCTGCGGCTCAGTCCAATAACACGTAATGCCTTTACTAACAGAGGACACGCAATGCCTTCACTAACAGAGGACACGCAATGCCTTCACTAACAGAGGACACGCAATGCCTTCACTAACAGAGGACACGCAATGCCTTTACTAACAGAGGACACGCAATGCCTTCACTAACAGAGGACACGCAATGCCTTCACTAACAGAGGACACGCAATGCCTCTACTAACAGAGGACACGTAATGCCTTCACTAACAGAGGACACGCAATGCCTTCACTAACAGAGGACACGCAATGCCTCTACTAACAGAGGACACGCAATGCCTTTACTAACAGAGGACACGCAATGCCTCTACTAACAGAGGACACGCAATGCCTTTACTAACAGAGGACACGCAATGCCTTCACTAACAGAGGACACGCAATGCCTTTACTAATAGAAGACACTCAATGCCTTTACTAACAGAGGACACGCAATGCCTCTACTAACAGAGGACACGTAATGCCTTCACTAACAGAGGACACGTAATGCCTTCACTAACAGAGGACACGCAATGCCTTCACTAACGGAGGACACGCAATGCCTTCACTAACAGAGGACACGTAATGCCTTCACTAACGGAGGACACGCAATGCCTTTACTAACAGAGGACACTCAATGCCTTCACTAACGGAGGACACGCAATGCCTTCACTAACAGAGGACACGCAATGCCTTTACTAATAGAAGACACTCAATGCCTCTACTAACAGAGGACACGCAATGCCTTCACTAACAGAGGACACGCAATGCCTCTACTAACAGAGGACACGCAATGCCTTCACTAACAGAGGACACGTAATGCCTTCACTAACAGAGGACACGCAATGCCTTTACTAACAGAGGACACGCAATGCCTTTACTAATAGAAGACACTCAATGCCTTTACTAACAGAGGACACTCAATGCCTTCACTAACAGAGGACACGCAATGCCTTCACTAACAGAGGACACGCAATGCCTTCACTAACGGAGGACACTCAATGCCTTCACTAACAGAGGACACGCAATGCCTTCACTAACAGAGGACACGCAATGCCTCTACTAACAGAAGACACTCAATGCCTCTACTAACAGAGGACACGCAATGCCTTCACTAACAGAGGACACGCAATGCCTCTACTAACAGAGGACACGCAATGCCTTCACTAACAGAGGACACGTAATGCCTTCACTAACAGAGGACACGCAATGCCTTTACTAACAGAGGACACGCAATGCCTTTACTAATAGAAGACACTCAATGCCTCTACTAACAGAGGACACGCAATGCCTCTACTAACAGAGGACACGTAATGCCTTCACTAACAGAGGACACGTAATGCCTTCACTAACAGAGGACACGCAATGCCTTCACTAACGGAGGACACGCAATGCCTTCACTAACAGAGGACACGTAATGCCTTCACTAACGGAGGACACGCAATGCCTTTACTAACAGAGGACACTCAATGCCTTCACTAACGGAGGACACGCAATGCCTTCACTAACAGAGGACACGTAATGCCTTCACTAACAGAGGACACTCAATGCCTTCACTAACGGAGGACACTCAATGCCTTCACTAACGGAGGACACGTAATGCCTTCACTAACGGAGGACACGCAATGCCTTTACTAACAGAGGACACGTAATGCCTTCAATAACAGAGGACACGTAATGCCTTCACTAACGGAGGACACTCAATGCCTTCACTAACGGAGGACACGTAATGCCTTCACTAACGGAGGACACGTAATGCCTTCACTAACGGAGGACACGTAATGCCTTCACTAACGGAGGACACGTAATGCGTTCACTAACGGAGGACACGTAATGCCTTCACTAACGGAGGTCACTCAATGCCTTCACTAACGGAGGACACGTAATGCCTTTACTAACGGAGGACACTCAATGCCTTTACTATCAGAGGACACGCAATGCCTTTACTAACAGATAATAACACGCAATGCCTTCACTAACGGAGGACACGCAATGCCTTCACTAACGGAGGACACGCAATGCCTTCACTAACGGAGGACACGCAATGCCTTTACTAACGGAGGACACGCAATGCCTTCACTAACGGAGGACACGCAATGCCTTTACTAACTAACGGAGGACACGTAATGCCTTTACTAACTAAGGGAGGACACGTAATGCCTTCACTAACAGAGGACACATAATGCCTTCACTAACGGAGGTCACTCAATGCCTTCACTAACGGAGGACACGCAATGCCTTCACTAACGGAGGACACGCAATGCCTTCGCTAACGGAGGACACACAATGCCTTTACTAACGGAGGACACGTAATGCCTTTACTAACAGAGGACACGCAATGCCTTTACTAACAGAGGACACGCAATGCCTTTACTAACAGAGGACACGCAATGCCTTTACTAACAGAGGATAAAGTGGTTCCAAACAGTTGTCCTTAGGAAAGAATCACAGAATGGAAATGTAATAATTTGATGCTTTTGATTGGTTTTCTGGAATGTCCACACTCCTTTAAAACTTTGCAGAGTACAACCCAGCAGTACAGGAGTTGGAAGCCAAAAAGTTTACATTGAATGGCAATTTTTTTCTACTCATGCATTATTATAACTAAACCACATAAAAATAATACTCAACTAAGTATCTTTGATATGGAACAAACAATGGATAAACTCCTGGAAAGCCCATTATTGAAATATATGCACCTAAATTTGGAGGATAGATGATCTCTACGCAACAGGGAGAAATTCCATATGTAACAGGAATTCTGAACCATAGGGACACATTGGCCAGATACCCAAGCTCCTACCACAGCATCTCCACCAAACAACGGTTGATATGTTTCCCAAGGCTTAGAATTAGTCTCCCTGGGAAGAAATTGGTACAATGGAATTAAGCACTGTAAGTCAATAGGGCTAAAACTATGTTTTTAGATAGAGTTGGAGGTTCTGCTCTTGAGTCATGACTATACATATCTTCTGGAAGATACACAGACTGTGATTAAATATTTCACCTCTCCACCAAAAAATCAGTTTGAAAACCATGTGAACTAGCAGGTATATGTTGGTAGAACAGGTCGTGGCATAGCACAACTGCTCAGAAATCTCTGCTCAACATGCTCTCGGTTTAGCAAACGGTAAAGCCTATGAGACCAAGAACTATCAAAGGCTCTTCTCTTTTTTCCCAGCAAGAAGTGGACACATTTGATAAATAATTTTACTTCCTCTGTCACCTCCAGAAAAGGCATTTCAATGAGACATCACTTTATGTTTGTTAATGTTTGGAAGATCCCTGCAAAACTACCGAGGAACCAAACTGCATATTTTACCAGTCAAAACGAATTATTTCTCCTTGACAAATGATGCTTTTCTATTGCTTTTATGAATTCTCAAGCAGATCGATCAGCATAATATATTCATACCAGAATCTCATTCATGACCTTTATGTGTTTCTTTCACATTTTCCGTAAAGGCAACGTGAAATCTTTGTAAGCAGCAGAGTACCCACAGGGCCTTTAGACAGTTCCCGAGCGTTCAGTACAGAGTACCATCGTGGGATAGCCGAGTTGCTGCACGCCTCTCATTACAGCCAATCTTAGCATCGCTCCTGATTGGATCAACGGCTCATCGAAACAAGTGCAACACGGTTAGTAACAAAAGACAACGGAAAGCCTGAACACACAATAAAGCGCTGGCTTGCTCGCCGGAGAGGCACGGATTCGGAAGCACAGAAACTTTTCTGCAGTTAGAAAACACCATCCTGCATTGCTTCCCTTTACAACATTGCTATAAATTTCATAGCACAGAACAGAATGTGTAGAAAAATACATATAAGGGCTGGGTGTGGTGGCTCACGCCTGTAATCCCAGCACTTTGGGAGGCTGAGGTGGGTGGATCACGAGGTCAAGAGATTGAGACCATCCTGGTCAACATGGTGAAACCCCGTCTCTACTAAAAATACAAAAAATTAGCCGGGCATGGTGGCGTGTGCCTGTAATCCCAGCTACTCAGGAGGCTGAGGCAGGAGAATTGCCTGAACCCAGGAGGCGGAGGTTGCGGTGAGCCGAGATCACGCCATTGCACTCCAGCCTGGGTAACAAGAGTGAAACTCCGTCTTAAAAAAAAAAAAGAAAAATATATATAATTCTTTAGTACCTAAAGTGACTAAAAAGCAAAATCATTTAACTCCCCTCTTTTTAGCAGGAAATATTATATTTCTATTAAAATTAAAGCATCTTTATATATAGGTTTTGCTTATTGAGATAATTTAAATGCCCAGAAAGCAATGCTTCTATGATCATAAAATTAGAAACGAAAAACCGAGACACATTTTTGGCATCGGTGGTTGTAAATTTCTCTCGGGCAAACGGTCTTCAGCGAAACTCCTAGGCTTACATCAAGACCTAGCGGAATTAAACATTTTATATGGAACAAGCTGTTTCTAGGATGAACTTGATCACGGTCCTTTATGCTCTTCTAAAACGTGTCCTCCCTCTAACTCCAGAATCTACTGTTTTAATTTTATCACGAAAAACACAATGCTGGTTGTTTGCACCTGCCAAAAACACTTGAATGAAATGATTGACATGGTTCATTAGACAATGCCTGAGGACACGTACATTTAAGGCATATTTCAAAGGCACAAATGCTATTTTATTATTTTGATGATTCATAGAACACACATTAGTAGTTCACGTACAGGCAGACTTGGTCTTACTGTGCTCTTCTTTACTATGCTTGGGGATACTGAGTTTCTTACAACGCGAAGGTCTGTGACAGCCCTGAGTGGAGTGATCCTATCGATGCCATTTTCCCAACAATATGTGCTCCCTTGGTGTTTCTGTATCATATTTGGGTAATTCTCCCAATATTTGAAACATTTTCATTATTATATAACTGTTACAGCGGTCTGTGTTCAGCAATCTTTGAAGTTATTACTGTCATTGTTTGTGGGCCCATGAACCACAACGTCACAAGACGGTGAACTTAAATGTTGTGTGTTTTCTGACCTCTCCCCCAGCCTGCTGTTCCCTCCATCTCTCTCCCTCTCCTTGGGCCTCCCTATTCCCTGAGAAACAACAGTATTGAAATTA